CTCAGTCATCGTTAGGTTTCACGCAGCAAATCTACGATACCTAATGTTTTTTTAGGTTTAATTTCTTTGGAGCTCGAAGTGTCGATAAAATGATTGTCGGCTGTGAAAAATCTTCGTGATTAAGAACGAACGTGATCGAATCACGAGTGATTCGGAAGTAGCACTTCACGCCATCTCTAATTCGCACCCTCTATATCTATTCAAGAAATTAGTCTTTAATTTAAACGATAGGCTTCGTGTTTCCAAATCAATTTTCCATATTAAATTAGGTTGTTCGTTAAGTAATTTCGTATATTTGTACATGAAAAGAAAAAGATACAATTTCCTTGTAATATATGAACAATTATATTTTATCGAATTTGTCTATCGACCGTTCAGGCCATCTAAATATCTCTACCTTGTAATATATGAACAATTATATTTCATCGAATTTGTGTGTCGACCATTTAGACCATCTAAAATAAAATTGTTCATATATTACAAGGAAATTGTACCTTTTCTTTCGTGTACAAATATACCAAAATTTAGAACGAATAATCCCACATTAAAATGTCCACCAGGTCTGAAGATCCTAACCACCAACTTCAGGGGACTCGGCCGACCGCGGAGCACCTCTTCCGACCAAGAAATTATTAAAACACAAGGCCCATAAATGACCCAACCCACGCGTTTCCAAAACCCGTGCCATAATTATCTCCACCTCCCCCCCAAAAATCGTGTACCATTTCCTCCCTACACGGTTCGATGCTTTTCCAGCGACAGCCTATCGCCGACAAAGGGCCGGGAGGCTCGGCGAACTGAGAATTAAACGAAAAAAAGAGCGTGCGGTGGCACGGTCGGGACCAAATGATGTACAGCCGGTTGCGCCGTGTGGGCCGAATTCGTAGAAGAGGATCGTCCCGTGCACGCGTCTACTGGGAAATACAGGTGCTCGATGGCAATATAATCCCGGGATTTCGCGGAATCGTCCACGAATTCGTCGAACCCGCCTTTGCGGTGGACGCGGGCTGGCCGGGATGACATACGCCCGCCACGTGTCACGCGCGCGTTTACGAAACGGTCGCGCGATCCGTGCTCGTTTGTCCCGTACGATCGGCCATCGATCCGCTTAAGTAGCAGACCGTAGATCTCACGTTATCGCCCACTGAGTTCTCGGTAACCGAATCACTCGTCTCGGGGCTGGAAAGGGACGCAGAAACAGGAAGGAGGGGACAGGGTAAGTCTGGACGAGCGATCTTCGATTTTAATGGGGACGAGGAGCGCGGTCAGCGAGATTTGCGCGTGTGCGACGCGTTGCTCGATTAAATATTGTTATGTTTAGGCGTAACTAGATAACGAGAACTTGAATAAATACCGAGTAGCTTTATGTGGACGATAGAAATGTAATTAAATGTAGTTTCGGAACGTCTGCACTCAATGGCGTTGTGCTCGAATCTTTTTTATTATTTGAGAACCTCAGACAAGGTTCATATATACAGTAGTATGTACGATACAGTTTACGTGTCCATTATATCCGCAGTTTACATTCTTTTAAGAAATCACGAATACATAGACAAGCTGCAATATCAGGTTTCGCAACAAACGATTCGACATTAAGTGGGAGACACAGTTTCACCTTTTCGAGAGCTTCTTAATTAGCTTGATCCTTGAACTCTTGCTCGAATCTGACAGCTTGACAGGCGATCGATCCGATCGCCTTCTTCTCGCTGGCTTCTATGTTCCGGTCGCGAGCACCAGCAGCCCTTGGATCCTTCGGGTGAGGATAACAGAGTTTAAACGAAGAATAACGCACGAGAATTCGAAGCCACGATCCCCGGATCCACAGTCGACCGCTTTATCTACGCGACCAATCCCGTACCCTACGTTTCGTCTTCTCGTTTCACTCCGTCTTCTTGGATATGTGAGGCGCCAATACTACGATATTTAACTCGAATTTACTCGACCAACGCGCATCTCGATCTAAAACTACTCTCTGTTTACTAATTTCCCGAGGACTGTATTGAGGCTCGCTCGCCTGGCTCGCCTCGCTGGAGATTAAACAAAAAATAGAAAAGCGCGACAACGTAACGCGACGGGGGAGTCCGCGCGAAAGCGCGAATGGAAAAATTCGTGCGACGGGAGGTCCGATGATGCGTCGTTACAACCGTTGTGCATTCTTCGATTCCTGATACACCGTGCCCGCGATGAGAGAAATATAAACGTAACACAAAACGGGGTCAGGAACTGATGTTCGTGTAAATGTTGGGGGCCGAGGGGTGTGCGCCGAGTGGAAACTCGCATTAATCCGTGGCTCGCAACTCCGGCTACTGTGTACTCCGGGGTTTTTTTCTTCTTCTTCTTCTTTTTTTTTTTTTTTTTTTATTCTTGTACCTCCCCCGAGTTTTCCACGTCGTTCTTTCGCTATCCGCTTTTCGCTTCATTTCTCTCTCGAACACGCTGCAACATATCGCGATATTCACCGCTGTGGCACACGGCCAACCAAACGAGCCTGTACGTTTCCTCGCGGTGGGCACTGATATCACGGGAAATATCTGTATCTCTGCGAGCGATAACTTACTGATGGCTCCGATACCGTACCCTCGTTCCTTGGACTCGTTTTCCGTCGCCTTTTCCTCCTTGACCCGTCCGGAAATCTGTACGTAGATCGTACAGGGAAAAAAGGAAATTTTATATTCATTGTGGAAAGAAGAAATTAAAATGGAAGAGTGTCAGCTGAATTTAAAGGCTCCTTACTTACTTTCGCTTTGCCACAAAATTGTCTCGATCCATTTGAGGGTAAAGGTACGACTAAATATGATTAATAAACACCGGTACGATAAATTGTAGAAGAAACAACAGTTCTGATGCATGGTATTCAGGATAATGTTACGTTTGAATCGATGTTTTGGTTTATCGTATTCGTAGGTCATTAGTTGCCAGCAATGGCGGTATAAACGTAATTTTTAAGTAAAAAATAAATGTAATAAAAATTGTATTATTTTACCAGTCCACTCGCCATCTAGCGGTGAAGAGGCCGAACTAATTTTCGGAGTATGGTCAGCGCCTCTATCGGGAAAACGCCCAAGTTTGTCCTCGAATAGTTCGTATCTTCCCTGCTAGATGGCGCAATTTACAGTATTTTTTACCGACATGTCGATACGTTACCATAATATTGATAAAAAGTGTGACCGATACCTGGTAAATGGTTACTTTACTCATTTACAGACTCAGCTGTGGGTTATCACCTGAACTTTGGCGGAAACTTCTTTATCGAAAGATAATGCCTTTTTCAAGAGAGAATCTCTTTTACCGTCTTTTGTTCCGTTTGTCTTTTTGAATTGCTGTTTGATTTTGTTAATTAATAAATTGCCTTCTGGTCGAACAATACGTGTAATCATTAAAACTTGAAAATAAAACCACTTATATTCTGAACATATTTTTATTATAGTCTGAAGTGCTATAACCCTTTAATTAGTGGCACCATTTAGCAGCAATCGTGGAAACTATTTTCGCTACAAACTTGGGCGTTTTCTCACCGATGGCGCCACTAAGTTTAAAACTGTAGCAGAACTGCACACACGCGGTGAGAAAGAAGCTGCTCTTCTTTTTTTAATTCTTTTTTATATTTCTTATATTCACTTATGTAGATGTTTACTCTCTGACTGCTATTTTGCTTCTAAGGAGCGTCTCTTACAAAAAGCTTCGCAGGAACGCGGTCTTACATAAGGCTTACCAACTACCATATCCAAAAATTACACTAGTGAGTAAAAGTGATCACGGACATAGGAATATAGGGACCGAGCACTGTTGGCAAGAACGTGGTGCAGTACGAAGCCAAGGGGAGAGACCTTTGAGTATATTTTAATTTGCTTCGTCTTTTATTTTTATCGTACTCGTAATAAATACGCAGCGTATCTATCTTCTCTTCTTTCGAATAACGATACATCCCATTAAATATCAGCAAATTCTTTGCGAAATAATTCTCAAATAATTCTGCACATTTTGTAATAGAAGTAAACACTAACTCAGACATAACACAGACCATAATATTGAGCATGAAATGTAAACATTTCAATAAGAAATATAGGTAAGTACAGTAATTCAAGCAGGTACAATAATCTTATGTTCTTGACCTTGAATGGGTCGCAAAGCTTGAGAAAATTAATAAATAAAGGACTGTAACTGCGCAACTATGTTGTAATTATAGTTATACGCGTTATAGTAATATACGCTAAGTAATGGTAACAATATTGTAACAATAAAGTTGTTTGTATTTCTGACAATTCTACATATGCAATAGACTGCTGATAATATGCCACCTTGTCTAGAAATATTCCACCTACAAAAGTAAAAGAAAAAGAACACTTTAAAGATATCACGTCTGTGTTGTCTATTTTTGGAATAGGTTAATAATCGAAAAGACAAACGTTATATTTTGGGAGGCTTTATATTTGCAAAGAACTCAAACTGTAGTGTAACTATTTTTTTCTTTTTAAAACCATGATTTATTTTGTTTTGGTATGTACATCATCAATACATCATTAATACATCTTTAACTTTTAACTAATTTTATATACCATAGACATATATCGTTATTCTGATTTTGTTACCAAAAATAAAAAGTATTTCAAAATTAATTATACGTTTTTCATTTAAAAGCCCATCTAACCATGAAAGAATACAAATATTTTTTAAACATATTACGATATGAAAGGTGTTTGGTGACCAAAAACGTTTGGGAAATGCCAAGTTGGAAAGTTTATGGAATAAACCAAATATATATTTAGGATGAGAGAAATATCGTGTATTTAAGATAACCTTATCGGAAAATAGTCATCCTTCGATTACATTAAGCAACATAATTGGATGACCGCTTCCTTTAGTGTAGTAACCAGTATTAACATTAAATAAAAATTGTATGGAATTTGTTTCATCTCCATACTTCCTTAATACTTTCTATGTATCTACAATTATGTCACAGGCTCAGCCAAACTATAAGTGTGTAAAAAAGAAACCCAATGTAAACTAAAAAGAAAATTATTATTAAGAACCAACGTAAGAGCCAGCCAACAGCTGTACATATTGTTAGGACGTCGATATTCTATCACTCATGCATCCAAATGAATCCAAAGGCTGAAATGAGAACACAGACTACTGCGTACATTTTTTATGCAAACGTTTGTATTTTTCAGTAATTAACGATGTGTATAGTGAATTTTGTATTGTGACCTTATCTTGGATAGCATTAAGTAATAATATCCTTCTTTACTGCGCGTCACATTAAACGATTGTGACTCGACCCCCTCCAGTTGTTCGTTTTCGCAATCGAAGGAGCTTCGAATGATGAATATTGCTAAGCAAAATGAGAGAGAGAGAGAGAGAGAGAGAGAGAGAGAGAGAAGCTGCCTCGAACACAGCCTGCAACTTCACCGACGCACGAGACACGACGAGAAAACAGACTGAGGGTCTTCCTGGCGCTATTTACAAACTAAAGTACAAGTACAAATAGTTACAAGGCTCGATAGTACGATAACGCTTTCTTTTGTGCTTGCGAGAATCTTGAATAACGTGTTGCAACACGTACAGTGAAGACGTTCCCTCGTTAAGGGGGAAGCCATCTTGGACGCGTGAAATTTATAGCTATATTCGACAATTTTTTTTCGAAAACTATTGACTTAATATACGATAAATTGAAAACATTTCTTGTTACAGACATTGTTGTGGTAAACACAACTTTTTCAACTATTCACCATTCTTGGAAAAATTGATATTTTAAAAAATTCATATATACTTTCACAGTATATATCATGTAGAAAATGAAAATATATAATTATTCGAAAAAGACTTGCCTACAAGTGAACTGTTTCAAAAAAGAAATTGTTGAATTATCAATGATTTTAACGCGTCCAAGGTGGCTTCCCCCTCTTAAGTGCAACGCGTGCATCGAGCTGTTCTTTCGCTCACGGCAGAAGTTCGCGTTAAATAATGGAAAGTAATAAGACCGTTGTTTAAAAGTATCGTTGTTCGTCTAGTCGACGAGGAATTGAAATCTAAAATGATACGCGAGTATCGTTACGATAAAAATTAATGTAATCTCCGCGGAGACCTATTCCCACAAACTAAAACGCTACTCCTCTGTATCGTGGTATCTTTTCCCAGTTTTTCGTTTACAATACTTCCATGATCCTTTTGTGTCGTCTATAACATACTATTATCAAAATTTGCTACCTAGTATTTCCGTGACTCATGCACATGTAACGCGTTCTTTAAAAACATTGGCTCGAATTTCGTGTAAAAGAAAAGTATCGATTAGGAATGATTACAAAAGAGCCTCGTAACGCGAAATCAGAATAATCCAATATCTGCGTGAGCAGGGAGGGACAGCTACGACTTCATTTGTTGTTGTTGTTGTTGTTGTTGTTGTCTGCCTGCAAACACCAGTGCCACGGGATCCAGATCTAAAACTTCCAAGGGAAGGCACAAATTATAGCCGTTCTATTGCGCACGTGTACTAGATAGGGCCCGATACTCGAAAAGTTCTTCCACTCTTCTCACATGTTAGCGATTTCTGGGTAACAAAGGGCAAACGTCTCACAGCGATGATTGAACGATTGTCAGTGATCAGTTGCCAATTTCTTCGGTTGACGTTCTTGCGCGCGTTTGATTCGCTGCTGCAACAGTTTGTGCAACTGTTCGATTTCTTTAGGTGCAGCTTGAACGATGAAGATTCTTATGTCTCCGTGAACGTCCATAGCTGTTAATCTTAACGATTTGGGTGCGGCTCGTTCCGCGGTCATACCTGGCCAGACTTTTGTGTTTAATATTAATCTTTGGGTGCCCGCGGTGCGGCCTACCAATCGGGACTCCTCGTCGCGATCGTTCAGTCGTAATGTTCCTCTTCCTCTCTCTTGCCAACCGCCACTGGCTTTATCGAATGCAAATAGTTTGCAATTTATTTGAACAACATTCGTTTCTCCCTCTTCACCCGTCAACGGCGTCACTTGATTGTACTTCCTTTTATTCGCGCGATTCGCCTCCTCTAGTTCTTGCGCCGCTTGCGTTAACGTCAGACCTGGCCGAGCTGTAGTGCGACACACTGCAGGGGCATTCGAGAAGAGAAGTTCGGAAGAACCATTTTCGCTGGCAGCTTCCTCCTTTTTTTCTTCACCCTCTGTGTTCTCGGTGCTTTCCGCGTCGTTTCCAACCATAACTCGTTCCTTTAAGTTCTGGCCAAAGACGAAACTCGGTTCCGAAGCACAAGGTGTCACTGTATTATTTACACTATTACTTTCGCTATCCTTTGTACTCGCACCTAGCGGTAGGAAGGTAGGCTTCGGTTCCTCTGCTGGTGTCTCTTCGCTGTTACTTTCTTTTACTTTGCTCTTGTTATTTTGGTTCACAGATTCATTCTTCTCTTCTGAAACGATGTCAGTGACTTTTGTAAAGGGATTCTGGAATTTTGCTGGTTGCAGAACTGTTTTATTAACAAGTTGACTATTTGCCATTGCACCCAATTGAGATGGCCTTAATATCGATGGCTTTGTTTTGTTAGGTAAGGAATCTGAAAAGTCATTGCTCCCAAATGGATTTCCAAACTTTGCAGCAGCTAATACAGGATCTAAGGACAAAAAGTATAAATTATCATTTTAATGATTGTACAAAATACTTCCAATGACAAAAGAATATTAACTTACAATGTGTTTTATTGGGGAGTTTGTTAGAACTTGACGAAGACTCCTGAGCGTCGTTCTCCATAGAAGAACTTTCCATCTTTTCTGAAACAATAAAATATATGTTCATGTTTTTGGAATGATTACTAGATGAAAGCTGATCTCACCGATAATGTTCCAAACTTTAACAGTGGTTAATTACATATTATAACCTATATGGAACGCGATCTATGTACTGCCTAAATCAACGACGAACGTTTAAACTGCACTTCTATCTTAATATGTATATCGAATACAAGTAAAAAACACTGTACAAAAAAGTGTACAAGAAGCAAAGTGATCTGTAAGAAAAAGCAATAGAGTATATTTACCGCTCGTAGAATTTTTAGACAAGTCTTCTGACGGATCTTGCGGCGGATCTACCTTTAAAATATACGACGGCCTGTTCGTCTCTTCTTTGCTCTCTAGATGAAACACGAAACAAACAATTAGAACGATTGTCAAACAATGTTACTTCGTCGATCTGTCGAACACTCGCGAGAGCAAATGTTACAGACAAATGGTTCGATCTTGTACGTGAACATTACGACGATAACTCTGCTAATCTTCGAGCATTATTAATTTACACGATTGCCCACGGTTTATCAAAAATTTACTCGCGCGAGTAAAGAATCACAAAACGCACCCTTGCAGTCCGCCATTTTTTACGTGGAAATGATTACGCGGACTGGTGTCGCCATCTACCTGTATTGTGTGGAAATAAAAAGAAAAAATGGCGGTGTTACACGTTCTGCGCCAGGGGTTCCCAACTTAATCCATGATCAATCAATTTATTCGTCAATAAATTATTACGTAGTAATGACACTACAATCATACACTGTATATTGTATTTGGACGTGAACCAAATATGTTTTTATCTTAGAAGTCTGATGTTGAAATCAGAGATGGGTAACATATTATTCGTATAACAGATAACGAATAAAATCAACGTATAATGATTTAATCAAGATGGTTATTTCATTGTATTATTTTCTATATTGTACTTGGACATAATCTTGTAGTATTCGAATAAGCGTGACTTGTTCAAAGTTTTTATTTGAGAAGTCTGATGTTGAGATCAGAAATAAGTAACATTTTATTCGTGTAATAGATAACGAACAAAATCAACGTATAACGATTTCATCAAGATGGTTATTTCATTGAATAAAAATATTATTTTACAAGTATTATTTTATCATTTAATTATCATTTTGGAGTTCCATTTAATCAGTAACGAATAAAATGTTATTTATCTTTTATTTCTTGGTTAAGATTTTTATCTCAGCAAGAATTTTACCTAACCTTATTTGAAATTCAAATTTTGTGAAACTCACGTTATACAGATTCGATATCAGTTTAGCTCGTGTTTAGATTAACGAGACCTTATGGGGTAATCGATTGAAGTCTACGATTTGATGAAGCAATAGATGTTACTTTTTTTTATGATCCATTAGATGAGCAAACCATTAGACGCAATAAAAAAACGCAAGAAAACACAGGGATTCAAATCGCCAAAACCCTAACCAAAACTAAAAAATTTTCGGATTTATGATTTACTTAGGCTGCAAATTTCGATAAATGGCAGATTCGATGTGGTCAACTTATTTTTCAATGTATGGTATCTAAATATAAGTTTAGTATAACTAATTCTTATTTTACAGACGAAGACACTATAGAAGACTTCTATAGAGGAATAACGTTATTATAGAAGAGTACTCTTCTACAAAATTTCAATGTCAATAATTTTAAATTACAACTTTAATTTTTTCGATTTTTTGCCAGGACTCCTGTTTTTTCTTAAGGGGTTACACTACTTTTTTGTATTGCTTAAAGTACTCTCTATATACTATGTATACGAAAATGATATGCCGTTAATTAGAAATCGAGGCGTGTGTCAGCATAACAGAAACTTTAAACGCGTTTTTCTCGAAAAAGCATTTTTAAAATCGCTGGGCACTCTAGCCTCGCCAATTTTCAATCAATTGAGTTGAATCTCTTTTTATGTAATTATCGTATGTTTTTCTTGTGAAATACGTAGGGATTTTTTTATTATATATTATTATTTGTATTTCTTATCCAACTTTGTGTACCACAATTTTAAACATTTGTATGTTTTACTTTGGAACGATGTCATTTTATTAAAAGTGTATATTTTTAAAAACGGTTATGTATTTTACTACATTTTGGACTAAGCAAAGGAATTAATTTTGTTCCGCTGTTCTAGCTTGAACCTGGTTTGAGCATTTTTGTAAAAATGAGAAAAATAAAAAATGATTTTCTAGTTGAATACTTATACAATACATTAATGTACTTCAATGTAAATAAAATCTTGTTATCGTTTGATAAAAATTTTTGAAAAAGCTTGGAAAATTCGGATGAGCAATGTGGTGCAACCCCTTAATGAGAATACTCCATTTCGTACCTAATTGTAAGATTATTATCTCGTGTCACGATCAATAGCTGACTTCGAAAACTCAATGACTGTTATCATACAATTGCAACACGCGATAACCATGGATTCTTGGCTTACAATGTGTTAATGCTCATCGTCATGTTGCGCCAAGGGCAGGAGTGGGAGGGACTTGAATGACTCTGTATTTTCGATGTCGTTCTGTAGATTCGTGAACGGCACTTCATAACCAACTTGGAATAAGGAGTTGATTTTTTCTGAATTTTTGTACAAGTTTCATTTGCCACGACATAATGTCTTTAGACGAAGTGAGTATATTTTAATACCGAATGTGTTTCTCGATTCAGCATTTCCCATATTTCGTGGTTATGCTCAATAATTTCTTCAGCTTCTTATACCATGGTATACTGGGTTAAATACATATTATGATTATCTACCAACGCGGTAAACCGAGACTTTAAAAGTATAACCAATAAAAAAAATAACAAAAACAAACGAATAAGTAAATATCAATTACTGCATTTTAATTATCTTTTTAATATCAACCTCGAGGAAAAAAAGTGAACGTTAAGTGGTTAATACTTATAAATGCTAAGCTAGTTTGAAATCACATTAGCAATTTAATTCTTAAAAAAAAATATAGGTCTATGATCCCAGGAAAGTTTGCATATCGTGCTTCTTAATGTAGAATATAAGCTTTGCTTCTTCTAATAATCTTTGTTTTTTTCAGAGATTCAACAAAGCTGCAGAAGAAGTTAAGGAGCTAAGTTCCCAACCTTCAGACAACGATATGCTTGAATTATATTCATTATTCAAGCAAGCTACTGTTGGAGACTGTAATACATGTATGTAAAACAAGTTTTCTTTTTTAAGACATAAATAAAAAAAACTTCATAATTTATATCGTTGCACTATCAAGTTTATAGATATCAATGTAAAGCGCTATTGTATTGTTGGAAAGAGATTTTATTGTTTGCTGTATTATTATCTTAGGTGCAAGATATAAAATATGTTAAAACTCATACGTGAACTTTGGCATTTGGATTGTCTTCAAAATGAAAGATAATAAAGTGATCTTTAAACCTTAATTTGTAATGCTAATTGCATGATGAATGCTAACAGTCATGCAGAAACTTAATTAAACAACTGAATAACCAAAGAAATATATTTTGTAATAAAGTAACAGTTTTGTGTATTTTTAAGATCATTATCTTTAACATTTTGTGATTTTAACGATCATTTTATACATTTTTCTAGCGAGGCCAGGTATGTTAGACTTTAAAGGGAAAGCCAAGTGGGATGCTTGGGATCGTAAGAAGGGCTTGAGTCAAGATAGCGCAAAAGAGCAATACATTCAGAAGGTGGAAGAATTAATAGCCATGATTGGCAAGAAGTAATTCTTGTTGCTATAAGATTTTTCATGTAAACATTTTTTGCACATCAGTTGTTTACATATGAATACTGTACCAGATCGTACAACTTTCTTGTTCTTACCAATGTGGGTGTAAAATAGTAAAACAAAACATACTCTTTACCTTTATATACATTACAGTGCAATATTTGTAAAAACAGTCAAATACTTTCTAATGAATTGTATTTCTAAGTACATTCCTCCAGTGAATAATGCTTCCGGAGGGGCAATGCATACGGCCCTGTTTGTCAAGAAGTTTGAAACATTTTTATACCACAACAAATATATACGAAGTCGCCAATACTCGGAGAAAATAATCATGTGGCTTATCTAATTTAAGAATTTATATTTCGTTAGCTAAAAGTATTTTTGCTATCACGGTAGACTCGCTATTTATAACTTCGTTCCTATTTACTTAAAAGCCATGGATTGTACTGATTCACTCACCACTACATTATTGTTACATACACGAGATAAGGATTTTTTTATACTTCAGTACAGCACATAACAGAAATATTGAACAGAAAAATGATCATTTTTTCTTGAGAAACTTTTATACCTTTAGATATTTTGTATTTAGTATATATCAGGCGAATCCAATGTGTGGGTTTGCAATTTATTCAAACTGTTGTAATAAAAGAAAATAAAGCTACTTTATATACAACGATACAAGGAATACTCGTATGCTGAAATTGATCCCACGACCCGGTTTTCCATCTTGAAAGAGAACAATGGTAAATAATGGTTTGGAATCGACAGAAAGTAATGAAATACTAGTGTGTATTAATAATGTATTTTCCACGTAAGTTTAACATTTCTTCCTTATCATTATATACACATACGCAAGAAACTAACTAAAAGAAACAATACGATTACGACACTTAAGTGTTTGGGAAAATGTTTTCACGACAGAACGGAAATCCTATCTCTGAATCCCTGTTTCACGGTTCGCCTAAAAAGGAACACATGCCATTCATCCATCGTGAACGTTACACAGTTACACTGCTATCAGGAACGTTGAGTCCACGGTAGATGGTAGTGCTATTGAAGTATATATCAATATACTATATGTATATGTATATGTATATGTAGTCGTAATACAATATTTTATATTTAAGAGCACTGGTTATGGCTGCGAAGTTAAACGGATCGTAAAAGAACGTATGTACGCGTAAAATGCGTCCACGTGCGCGTGTACTTTAACGCGAGTTGAAACTCGTAAAACTCAGTCCCAAGTGTTCTCGAGTTCTCGCGACTTAGAAATATTACGTAACTTACGAGATATTGATTCATTTAAATCTCTAAAAAACTAAGATAAACGAAACTTACCGTATGTAAATGTAACGCGTAAGATTTCGAACGGAAACATGAAAGCGCTGTTTATAAAACGCGAGAAAATCTGTCGCACATGATTTCTCTCCTCCTTGCGCAGACGTTGGTCGAAAAAAACGAGCTTTTTTTCAGTGAGAATAACTTCGTAGCGAATTTTTATTGATACTTTCAAGCCGGACAAAATGGTCAGTCGAAGCTAAGCTACTGATACACGTTTATTTTTGCAAAAGATTGCTTTATATCCCTCTCGCGGGAGGTTACGACACCGAACACGTTTCTTTACTCTGACGACAGCAAAAGCGACGTTAATTAGGAATTAAGACGAAAATTTGCATCAGCTCCGTAATGGGATACACATATGTATGCGTGTATGTAGGTATGTATGCGTCTGATAGATAAATGAAAGAGACAAAAAAAAAAGAGAAAAAAAAATAGAAACAAAAGACGGGAAGAACTGAAAAGAATGAGAGAAGGCTGCATTGTTTGGCCTCTATTTTCTCTTACTCTTGTCTGTGTGCTTCTTAGTGAGAAGTGGATGATAGTGCGTCTTTATTCTGCTAGCCCTCAGATGGTCACCGTTGACTGTTCTCGAGTTCTGGCCAGCCATCGCGATGTCGCTGGCATTGTCGGTCAGCGGGCGACTCGTCGATGCCTCGTCAAACCTGGTAAAACAGAGAAGGTGACGGGAACAAAAGCTCGGTAGCATTTGTCGCGGTTTGCTCGCAATAGTTAAGTTACTTCTCAATTTAAGATAATTTGTTTTGTGGTTTGTTTTAAACGGGCTCGATCGCTCGAGCTAAGAGATCTAATCACTGTCATCGAATTTTCGTTGAGTAAATCGGTGCCTCGATATCGTTTTGCTGTTCAGTAATAAGCGTATGTACATGGGTGTATATATTTAATTTTTCTTTTCGTTCACGTCGTGTACAATGCGTGGAGAGTGCGTCGACCAGCGGCGCTACGTAAACAACAAAACAAGCATTGCAAGAAAAATTCCAACGAGAAGTGAAGGCGGTCTGATGGAGAGATGAGAACTAATACGGACAACGAATGACCATGGTGCAATGAACGTCGTTAAATGAACAATTATGAGACAATTATTTCTTTTTTTCTCTTTCTCTCTGTCAGGTAGATAGTAGCAGGAACAACATCTCGGTAGACCGTGGAGATATTACTCGCAAACGTGAACGACGACAGGAATTTCTCAATTGCCGAGCAGAGATCGAGCGAGCGTTCTTGTAGAAATCTGATTTAACTGTACGTTATTGATTGTGGGACGCCGTTCACCGTCTTCGACTTCAGCACGTCGTTTTCGAAAGACATTATCGTTTCCTTTCCGTTCTCGTAAATCCTGAAACGAAATAGTTTAGCAACAACAAAGTGTTTCACAGCCTAGCTGCGCGCGAACCTGCTGTTCTATACTCCCTTACTTTTTGGTGGTGATCTTCTTGCCGTTGATAAATCTCGTCGAGGTATTCGTTCGCCTCACAGCACCGCCACCACCACCGCTGGTTCCGTCGAAGCTTGCGAACGAGTTGAACGAGGTGAAGGTGTTTCCTCCACCTTCAAAAATGTTGGTGAACGGTGAAAAATGAATCCCGAAAGGGTTGAAGAAAGGCGTACTTATGCTGTTACTGCTTGGGTGACTACGCCTGTGAAAGCCTACATTGAGGTCTTTGGGAAAATAAACAACACCGTTAATCACAATTTTCACTGATCACACTCCAGGATTGTTTTGTATTAATCGATTAATCACCACACAGATTTTTATCATTCGGGATCATTCGTATCATTCGCACATTGAATGGTTGCTTGTTACACACCAACGTACACATATATAGGGTGGAGCGTTTAAATGGGAACATCCAAATATCTCCGTAAACAGCACGTATCTTTCTTGCTGTTTGAACAGTGTCTTTTGATTCGTGTCAATAAAAGAGCATCAAATGCCAAAAAACGCAACCTTATTTGAACTATTTTAATATTTAACAATAAGATAGAAACATTTGAAATTCACTAATTTACGAGCAAATCGCTGAGAAAGACGCGTTGCAATGTCACTTTTTATTACGTTATGCATATTGTCAAATGTTTCAGCTACGCATTGTATCTCCTACGTATCTCCTATTGAAAAATGCTACAAACTTTTTTTATAACCAAATATACAAACGAGGGCCACTCACATTTTCACAGATTACCGATGTACGTTACAATTTACTTACCATCAGTCATCTTGTACAAGTCTGCGAAAGCACTACCACCGAAGAATTCTCTGAATACTTCCGCAGGATCTCTGAAGACGAAGGTATTAGCGAAGCGAGGATCAAAGTCGTCATCGTGTCGCCTCTTGTTTCCTGGCATTTGAAGACCTTCCTTTCCATACTGATCGTAGACACGTCTTTTCTTTTCTGAAAGGTGTACAAAAAGTAGCGATCGTTAATACCAATCGTATGGTGGGCTCTGAATGTGTTTCGCTTGATTTTATTCGGTCCAAATTCCAAGAAGCAGGTACTGCAAGGCTTGCCAGGTTAGTAGAGTACTGCCAGATGACTTCTAACATCAGCCGAAGTTACGGCCACCGTAACAGCAAAACCAATATAGAGAGAACAACACTGGACTGTTGGATAATCAGGATACTTGTGCGAATCCTTGAAGGACCATTATAATTATAACCAAAAATATTTTAAGTGAACTTAATTAATTTGAAAACAATCATTTGATAGGTCGTGGTGGGCTTAGTGTCAAGAATGTGTAACTAATAATCGAAGAAGATAGAGAATTGGCAAATTATGCGAGAAGACCACACCGAGTACATCAAATGCTACAGGTTCTCCGTCTCTACCTCAACCATTCCTTTTCCAATCCTTTTCCAATCTGAATAAACGAGACCTGAAAGCGTTGGAAAGTTGATGTCGCATCCGCGTGGCCCTTCAAGGATTTAGCCTTCCAAGGTCACTGAAAAAGGGTGAAACTACTGGAAGCAGATTAGATCGTACTCTTGTTCGGTCAGTCAAGCAATGGTTAGAAGTGCGGAGAGGTACAGGCAATAGAAACTGCGTTTACGGTGATTGATACACCGTGAAAGAGAAAAAAGTGTCTATCGAATATTCCACGGGGACTGATACGATCGACGAGAGCGCGATACTGTTCGCGGAAATCCGTCAGGAACTCCTGAATCCTACGTTTGAGCAGCGAGCGAGGCTTCGATGGTAATCGTAACCAGCACAACCGAACCAATCGTGCGGAAAGAAATGTATGTACACGATTGTAACATCGTATACCCAGCAAATTGTTCATCGTTTCGATCGGATGTTCTACCCGTGTGTGTTTGTGTGTTCGGAAACAAAACAAAACTGAAGGTACTTGACAAGGGGAGGTGACCACCAAGCGTGACCCTGACTCATTAATAAGCTTTTGCGTAGCGGTAGATAATAGTAAATTAAAGCTAATAGTATATTGTTTCGGGGACAGACAGTTTATAGTTTAGAATGTATACAACAGCGAAAAAATAACTACGTATATCACAAAGGAGGAAAAATATTGTAAAAAAAAAACCTATTTATATATAGTGCAGGTACCGTATGGGAGTCTGAATGTATGTTTATCACTTTTAGCTTCACTTAATCTATGTATATTAATATCGAAATTTGTACTTTATTCTCTTAAACGCTACATAGTCTAAATAGGTTTTTTTTTTTTTTTTTACAATGTTTTTAGTGAGTTTGTTTGATCTCACTTGAGTATTGTAAAATTTTATGCAATTTTGCTTGATACGTTCATTTACGTATTGCATTGAGGGGACCAGAAAATAATGTTGTTTCTGCGAATGTCACTACTTGTTTATCAATCATCAGCTCGTTGTATATCAATTGATTTTTATATTTTATTTTATGTAATTATACTTCCTGTGATAAAGAGTAGCAATTTTTTTTCAATGATGTATATCTTATAAATTATTATATAAACCGTCTGTCTCCAAAATTATATAATACTTGCTTTCGTTTTTTTGTTATTTGCCATAGCGCAAAAGCAGATTAAAAAATCAGGGTCAGGCTTGGGGTTCTCTCCTTGTGAGAAGAAAAAAAAAAAGAAAAAGAAGATGGAATAAAACAATGTTTGGCCACTCTCTCTCTCTATCTCACTCTCTCTCTCTCTCTCTTAAAGTCTTTTTTCTCTTAAGTGGTACCGAAAAATCGCTGGAAAGCAGAGTCAAAGTAATTCCGGCTGGTGAATCCACGGCCGGGCCTCGAAGACGCCTTCTGATACAATCGTTGGTCGTAGATTCGTCTCTTCGCATCTGGACATCGAGCACGGTCACGAGAGACAGTCCGGAAAAAACAAAGA